GGAGAGAGATATATATATAGAGAGAGATAGAGAGAGAGAGAAGTGGGGGAGAGACCGAAAGAAAGAGAAAGAGAGAAAGGGATACTCCTTGCCCTCGGATCTCACATTACTTGCGTGAATAAACAAAGCGTTCAAATTAATTACCTTTCTGTTTTTATTCATTTATCTCCCTGGCCTTAAGCACGCTGGAGTTACTTGCCTTTTGCGTTCATCTACTTTTGTTACAGCTCGCGCTTGTTTAGAATGCGCTTAAAAAACATTAGGTCTAGATTAATAAGCAATTCATTACAATTATGTTGAGTTTCAGGATTTTGTTGATAGTGTTCTTCGATTTTCAAGACTGCTACCGGTTGAACATAATGTAGTGCCTTTAAATAACACCACACAGTGGAATTCCAAGTGTCTTAAACTCCATTAACTGTGTTTATTTTTATTCTTAAGACATGAGTAGAACACTGAATATTTTTTCCATATGAGAGTACGGTTTAGAACATAAAGAGCTCGATAAATAAAAATGAGAAAAGAAAGAAAATCAAAACACGAGAGGAGAAACGAACCCTTATAACAGCATTACTTGATTTAAAATTATGAAAAAAATAGTTATTTTGTTTGTTTTTTTGTTGTTGTTTTTTTCCGTTACGATACGACGAGTACAATAAATTTCAAGACAATGGATTTTTTTGTTGTTGTTGCAAGTGGTGGAGTCTCCAGAATATTGAGTTACAGGATAACACCAGCATAGCAAGACTAGAAATAAGCCAAAATGTTTGATTTCCAGCAATGACACCGAAAACAACTACGACAATCGAAGCGACGGTTTGTTTATACATGTGTCTGTGTTGTGATGACTTCATTTTCAATCTTGTTACACAGACGACAGGAATTCGATAGCCGAATGAGGGATACATTTTCCCTCAAATCTCCCCTTCATCACTTGAAATTGTTTTACAGGTCATGAGTTGGACCTGGTGCAAAGAATCGAAACTGCCTACCCCATAGACAGCTGTAAATAACAACAACAGCAACAACAACAACAACAATAGACAAGTCTTAGTAGTCATTCCTATTTTTATTCCTCCCTCCCCCA